CCTGGTTTCTGCGGCTCCCCGGGAGCTTTTGGGGCTCACGGCAGCCTTGCGGGTGCCCTGGGGACTCGCCAGCCCCTTCTTCTGGAGCTGAGGGCTGGACTGGGCAGATTTCCTACCCATGGAGGGGCTCTTGGATCCCTTGGGCTTGGCTGGCTCCAGCGTCTTCAGGCCCAGGATGCTGCAGTAACGGTTACACTGGTGAGTGGCTGCAAACTGCTCCAGCAGGGAGGGGAAGCAGCTTTCCTTCAACCCCTGGAACCTGCCAACACAGCCATCCTCAGCCCCTGCTCCGCACCAGGAGATGTCTCGCCGGAGCAGGGAGCCGAGGATGGGAGCCCAGCCACCCTTCACCATGAGAGCTGCAGCGCTGGGGACAGATGAGACCGCCCTGCACCAGCAGCTTGGGGTCACTCACCCTTTCAGGTTGGTAGCGATCCGCACATTGGTCATCTTCCAGCCCACTCCTGCAATGAAAGGGAGGACAACCAGTCTCTGCCCAGAGAAGGCTGGGCACCAGCACCAAGGGCAGGTCATCGCCCTGGGGGCTGGGCTCCATGGCACATAGGGCATGTAGATGCAGGAGGGCAAGGCTGTGGCTTTTCCTCTTCTCTTTGCAGGCCAGAGGGTGGTGAGGGGCCACGGGAATCAGGTGGGAGATCCCTTTACCTTCCATGTCAGTCACAAGGATGTTTCCATTTGTCCACTGGTAGACCCAATGCTGAAAGGTGCAGCATTTGAGGACGATCTCTGAGGTGCCTCGTGCTACCAAGCTGCCATCTCTCTCTGTGACACAGTACTGCTCGCAGGGCCCACCCAGGTCCTCCTCCATCGTGGCATAGGGGATGTTGTTGGCTGGTCGGTAAATCAGGTACAGAGGAACTATCCTGTGTGGGAGTGCACAGGTGGGGTCAGCACCAGCTGGCAACCTTTCCCACTGCAGCACATTGAGACATGCACAGCGGTCTGCAACCCTGGCTTTTACCTCCCCCCCAATATTCCTCCTCTGTGAGGGTGGGAGAAGAGCATGCTGCCCTTTGGGATGTCCCCAGCACCCACGGGGAACCCTCCCACCATCCCCAAGGATGCTCTGCCAGGATGTCAAGCCAGTGGAGCCGCAGCACCTTACTTACTCGGGCACCGCTCCAAAATCAGGGATGGCTCGTGCCTCAGCAGCAAAGATCTTGCAGTACTCACGGCTGGAGTTCTGGATTTTACATTCCTGGAGATTCAAACAGAAGAGTCAGAGATCTGCTCTGTCTCACACCAATGCCTCCCTGGGACCCCCCGCCTGGCCGGGCATCCCCTGGGACACTGCCAGGTGTTTCCCTCTCCTGGCGGTCAAGGGACAAGTGATGGGAAAGCTCCGAGCAGCTCTGTGTTGCTCAGAGAGAAGAGCTGAAGCCAAAAATAACAACGACATTGCCAGCCCACTGGGACATGGCTCCACTGCTTCAGAGCATTCAAAAAGTGGAAGGAAATAAAGAAAGTGAGCACAGAGCTGGGGACTGTGGCACAGACAGACAGGGAAGGAGTCGGGGAGACAGGCAGAGGGTGCCCCACGAGGATGCCCACCTGGATGGTGATATCGTAGTTCTTCTCGATGAGGCTGTTCTCGTTCTTGGTCCCAAAGACAATGAAATTGTGCACTTTGATGACGCAGGTGTGGCCGGACTCAAAGACGGGCTCCAGGCCATAGATGGCTCTGGCACGGCAGGCTTTGCGCAGGAAACCAGCGCCCACTTCCACGTCCTCGCTCACCACGCGCCCGAAGAGCTTATCCCCCCAGTAGCCTGCATCAGCCAAACCCTTTGCGAACACCATGGGCGTCATCTCGATCTCTTCTCCAACTGGCAGAGGGAAGAGCTGGTGAGGGGGGACAACGCGGGCATGTCCTCCCCCCGACACAGAGCCGCCTGCCCCCTGCGCAGCAAGGGGCAGCAGCTGCAGCTCCTCAGCACGCGGCACTTACCTTCGATCTCTTCCCGCAGGATAAATCCTGACAGCACTAGAGGAGACAGAAAGCAAAGAGGTGTCAAGGTCCTGCCAGGATCCCACCCTGCCCCATGCACTTCCACACCAAGGAATGGCAAGGAGGATGATGTCAACCACCCACAAATTAGAACATGGAGGCAGATGCCCCTCACAGAGGCAGTGTTATGGGGCGTGCAAGGCTCCCCCTCCACAGCCTGGCACCAAGCCCTCCCTGCAGTTTGCCACGCCGCCCCACGGCACAACCGGGCAGCTGGGAGAACTGCTGCTGGGCTGCTGAGGGCTCCTCACCTTCTGGGCTGAGCAGGAAATCGGTGGAGTCAGTGCCGTACTCGTTGCTGATCACACACCGGTAGACCCCGCAGTCCTTCTGGGACGCCTGCACAATAGCCAAGGCTGCCTGGCCCTCGTCGCCAGCGCTGGAAGAAACCGAAGCATGGCCTCAGCCCCATGTGATGTGTGGGGGCACAGGAGACCCCTGTCACAGGCACTGCGGGTGGGCACCGTGCTGCCCTTGGAGGGCTGGAAGAGGGCTACGGCAGAAGCCAGCCCAAGGGCATCCCAGCTGCTCCCCTGGCACCTCATGGCACCAGGAGTCCTGCCCTGCAGTTTGTACTCACAGAAATGCTCATCTTCCAGGCAAGCCCTGAAAAATCTGGCCAGGATTGGGCTACAAACTGATAAAGGTACTTGCCTCTGTGTGTGGCTGGGTCAAGGCTGTGCTTTGGGCTAACAGACCTGCATCCAGATGGGGATGGCTGGAAGCCAAACAGCCACAGAGGTGTCCAGCTTCATTTTCAGCTGCTCACTAGTGAGGGCAGGCACGACTCCCCATCCTGAAGCCTGCCCCTCTCCGAGGCACCGGCAAAGCACAAGCTCTGTATCAGCAGGCTGCCAGTCTTCTCCAGCCTGCAGTGCCAAGCTTTGGGCTAGCAATTCCTCTAGCCAAGGTGGGGACACACCAGGCAGGTGGTCTCCACAGGAACCCCACATGGCCAGCATGAACCAGCAAGGGGATGACGGGCCGCGGAGGGAAGAAGTGGGACCCCCATCCTGAGACCCGCTGGCTGAGCAGGCTCTGCTCTGGTCAGCTAGAAGGCAATGGTCACTCCTGGTCCATCTGCCCCCACTCAAATATCTGCTGTAGGAGATCTGCTGTTTCTGCCCCAGAAGCACCTCCTTCTGCCAGCTCATTACAGAGGGAACGCAAGGGATGCACAAAGGCTGCAGGCAAATCCTATCAGATGTGGATGATGTTCCCACACAAGCTCCTGTGGGCTTGAGAACAAGTTGCTCTCCACAATGCACTCAAAGAAGCGTCCAGGACACCACAAGCCACTCAGCTGTCCGAACACGTTCTCCCTGTGCAAGGGCAGTGCCAAGGGATAGCGAGGGCACAGCCAGAGCTGCTTTTTCCCTGCTAGTGCTTGCCAGTGGTGGCTGTGTGGAAGCGCCTGCTCGGGTGCAGTGTGCAGACCCTCCCGGCACAGCTGCCACCCACATGTGTACCACTCGGGGTCCCAGTTTTGCAGCTCACACCCAGCTCTCAAACTCTGAGATGGGCACAGCACCTTCGCCAGCACCTGCCCTCCCCAAGGTTCGGGTTCAGCCCCTGTCCTCCCCAGTGTTCTGCTACTCAAAGCACCAGCCCTTAGGCTGGGTTCCAGATGGAGCATCAACAGGACAAATTTGGCAGCAATTCCCCACCTGGGTGACCCCTCCCTCCCCTGGCACTGAGAAGATAAAGTTCACAACGTGCTGTGCCATGCAATGAGCTTCCCATGCAACCTTAACAGAAGGGGCACCTTCACCCCAGTCAACGCAAGGAGCTGGAATTAACACACGAACCCAGGGCTATGCACAAGGACTACAACGAAGCAGAGCTGGCAGGTTACCTCCTTTGGGCTTCTGCTACAGGGATCTCGTCCTTGTACCACATCAGCTTAGAATCACTCAAAATATTGAAGAACTGGCACCAAAGTTTCAGGTTTCCTGATGCATCGGAAAATTGTTCTGCCCTGATCTTACGAATCACCTGTGGAGCTAAGGACAGGGTGCAAAGAGATGGATGGTGAGACACACAGTGTGGGCTGCAGCTCCAGGGACAGGCCAGCCTGCCCCGGCGCTGCTGCGTAGGACTTTGGTGTTGGCATCAAACGTATGTCAGCACAGCCTGATATCACCCAGGGAAGGTCTCAGAGCTCTGCTTGAGTAAGCATGGTGGGATACAAGTGGTACAAATTCATTCAACAGCGCAGCACTGAAATACCGAGTGGGGCTCGGCCAGAGGCAATGTAGAAAAACACTATGCAATGCTGGAGGAAACATTTATCTACTGAAGTAGGGACTGATCAAGGTTACCCTAATTTTTGCAGGAGTGCTGATTTCCATGAGGGTATCACCTGGCTCCCGCAAGCACTTCAACACCAGGATTATGCCTTTTCTAATTCGATGCCACAAGGGATCAAATTAGCATTGACCATGGAGGTGGGAAAGGAGCATGCACCCCACTGATGCCCACTGGACTGCTGACCAGCATGAGGCACGGTGAGGACTGGGACATGCAGACCAAGAACAGAAGTATTATGTGATTCCTTTGGCCAGGGAAGTCCAGGCTGTAGAGAACCAGTCTCAGTGCTGCTGTCTCTTGTGTTCCTCCACCCTCCCTGCACTAGGGAAGAAGTTTTGGGGCAGACTTTTGGCTTTCACGTGGCCAAAGGGTGATGCTGAAAACCCTGCAAATGCACAAAACTCACATGGCCCCAGGTGACTATCACCAGCCAGGCTCCTTTTGTAGGCAACAAGGAAACATGCTTTATGGAGATTAGCTCTTTCCTTACCTTTAAATGGGTTATTTGCTTTCTTGGACTCTGCTGGCTGTGCTTCTGGCTTAGCATCTTCAGGGACCTCGTGGCCACCACTGCTGTCACCTGTGGGCTCCTCATACAGCTTAGGAACCTCCAACGTGGCCATCTTCCTCGTGAGGGTTGGTGAGCGCTGCTCTGCAGGAGAGGACGGAGCCGAGGCAGGCGACTGCAACAGGGCGGCGTTCTTCCTGGATTGCCGTGGTGAAACGGTAGGACTTCTCACGTGCCCTGGGCCCTCTGGGGTTGCCTCCTCTTCCTCCCCCACCTGCTTGGTTTTTGGCAGGTATATTTTGCGCCGGGCCCCGGAAGCAAGCTCCTCTGGCGTGGCACAAGGTAGCACTGCCAGAGGGTCACCAGGGCTCTCTTTTTCAGGGCTGGCTGGAGGCAAATCAGAAGTATTATTAGGAGGCTGCCCCGCTCCTGCTGCCGGCATGCTGCCCACCACGATGGAGGGCACAGAGAGCTGGGGCGGCCCCTCCACCTCAGGAGCAACCCGGGTACGTCTCTTTGGTGGCATAGGCCTGCAAGCCAGCATCTCCTTGCTGGTAACGAATTCCTCGTTAATCATGCCAGTGATCCGCCTGGACGTCCTGGGGGTCAGAGGCAAGTTCTCTGCTGTCTGGAAGAGCTGATTGTTTTGCACTTTTTCCAAAACTCTCCTCGAGGTGCGGGGGCTCAGGCCTGCAATGCCTATCTCTGGGAGCATGACTTCCTCTGCATCGGGCTGCTCCTTGTCCCCAGGGTCAGTGTCTTTCGTGGCATCCTTACTGCTATCTGACATTTTTAAAAGCAGCAGCAGATAGCTCTTCAAGGAGGAAACAAGGTTTTTGTGCTGCATCTTCTCCTCCAAAGACATCTCCTGAGGTCTCTCAGGGCTAGGCAGGACCAGCGGTACTTGTGGCTGGAAACCCGCCACTCCTTTCAAAAGTTCTCTAAG